CAAACCCAAGCAGCTGGGCCCCTGGGGTAGCACAAGCCTGGCTCTCAGAGCACAGCAGCCTGGCCCAGAGGTGCCATTTCAGATTTTGGTAGGGGGCGACCTGTGCATGCCCTGATTGGGGGGGGGGAGTGAAAGGAAGGAGGGGTAGGGGAAGACTGAGGACAAGCCAAGCAGCAAAAGGGGGGGGTTCCATTCTCCCTGCCCTCCACATCTATCATTTATTTCTAGGTCTACTAAGCCACTGGAAAACGCCAGGTTTGGGCAGACAACTTAGCAGTCAGCTGGCAGGAGCACTGTATCTAATTCCTATATAAAAATAAAATATAAATACATTTTAGACCCACTCAGCTCTAACACCAACATGTGCTGACATCTTGTGGCCAGTGACGGAAGGGACACTGCTTAGCCTTCAGTTTTTAATACAGAGTCCTACTTAACTGGAAAGAGAGAGAGATACTGTGAGGACTCAGGGGTTCTAACTCAGCTCTTAAAATGGAGTGTCTAGAGCAGGGGTAGGCAGTTATTTTTGTTCGGGGGGGGGTCATGCCAAGATTTTGGAAAGTAGTCAAGGGCCGCACTTTTCTGTGGGGAGGGTGCAGGGTCTAGGAAGGACGTTGGGTGCAGAAGGGCACACCGGATAAGGGCCTGGGGTGCAGGAGATGGTGTGAGGTCTGAGAGGGAGTTTGGGGGAGGAAGGGGATTGTGATCTGGGTTGGGGATTGGGGTGTAGGGTCAGGCGGGAGTGTGGATGCAGAAGAGGATCTGGACTGGGGGAGGGGCTCTAGGGGTGTGTCTAGACTACATGCCTCCTTCGACGGAGGCATGTAGATTAGCCAGATCGGAAGGGGGAAATGAAGCCGCGATTAAAATAATCGCGGCTTCATTTAAATTTAAATGGCTGCCCCGATCTGCCGATCAGCTGTTTGTCGGCAGATCGGGTAAAATTGCTGTCTCTAGCACAGAGCTCATATAAGGTGAGTGTGGGTGACAAGTCCAGCACTTCAGGCATGGCACCACCTAACCTCGGTGCCGCACTAAAGAGCTCATTCTGAGCCCAAACAGAAGTTGGCAGCACTGAGCGCACCGCCTTCCACCACATCAACAATAAATCATAAGTCGGTGTTGAATATGGCACCCCAGAAACCTGCACTGAGATGCCTCCACCGTGGGCACTGACTCTGATTCCACCCTCAGCACCGTTGGCACTGGCCACAACTCTATGCTCAACCATACTCAGCATCTTCCCCCATTGAGAGTCAGTGCTTCCTCAGCACCACCCTGACCAGCATCAACGAGGTGCTCAATACAGTCACGCTTTCTTTCCCCTCTCCCGATCTGGCTAATCTACATGCCTCCGTCGAAGGAGGCATGTAGTCTAGACACACCCTAGGAGAGGGTGCAAAGTCTGGGAGGGAATTGTGACCTGGGAGAAGAGGAAAGGGGGGTGCAGAGGGTTTGAGTGGTGATCTGGGGCAGAGGATTGGGGTGCAGGGTCTGGGAGGGGGGATGGGTGCAGGAAAGGATTCTGGCCTGGGGGAGAGGTGTAGGAGGGGGTACAGGGCCTGGGACAGGACTGGGCAAAATACCAGGGCCGGATCCGGCCCAGGGACACCCTGCCTGGACCCCCAGGCACACACACAGCTGTTGCTGTTTAAAGCGCAGTGCCTGTATCTCTGCTCAGAAGGGAGGGGGAGGCTTCATGCAACCTTCCCGCGCTGGAAACAACCAGCCAATAGGAGCTGAGAGATTGGCCTTGGGAATGGGGGCAACACAAGCCTCTTCCCATTCCCAGAGCTGAGAGTCAAATGGAGGGAGCAGCTGTAGTTTAAAGCGCTCTGGGGCTGCAGCGGGCAGGTCCCTGCCCTCTCACACTCAGACACTACACATGCGCGCACACTCAGACATTACTTGTGCATGCACGCACACACTCACCCCACATTCTCACACACATTCACATATGCACTCCACATTCTCACACTGACACACATGCACACTCCACATTTTCACACTCAGACACTACACATGCACACACTCATCCCCACTCATCCCCCTGTTTCCACACCCAGACACTACACACTCACACATGCACTCCACATTCTCACACTCAGACACTACTCATGCATGCACACACACTCACTCACGTATGCACCCGCATTCTCACACTGACACACATGTGCACTCCACATTCTCACACTCCGACACTACACATTCACTCACCCCCCCCCCCCACATTTCCACACTGAGGGTATGTCTACACTACCCTCCTAATTCGAACTAGGCATACCGCACTTGCAAATGAAGCCCGGGATTTGAATTTCCCGGGCTTCATTTGCATAAGCTGGGCGCCGCCATTTTTAAATCCCGGCTAGTTTGAACCCCGTGCCGCGCGGCTACACGTGGCACGGAGTAGCTAGTTCGGATTAGGCTTCCTAATCTGAACTAGCTGTACTCCTCATTCCACGAGCACGAGTACTCCTGTGAGCCACCAGCATGGTTCCGGGAAGAGGCGGAGGGCTGGGTGGCAGCGGGTGGCCGGCTCATGCTGTGCCAGGGGCAGGGTCTGCTGGCTGGGTGCTGGCAGGCTTGCACCTGGCACGGGCACCGTATACAGACCTTTAAGGGCTCCGGGGCCGGGAGGGGGCAGAAGAGGTTTCCCGGGTAGTGCCCAGAGTGGCCACCAGGGAAAGCTGGGGAGGGCTAGCCTCCCACTAGTTCGAATTAAGTGGCTACACAGCCCTTAATTCAAACTGCTTAATTCGAACTAGGCGTTAGTCCTTGTAGAATGAGGTTTACCTAGTTCGAATTAAGCGCTCTGCTAGTTCGAATTAAGTTCGAATTAGCGGTTTGTATGTGTAGCGCCTATGAAAGTTAATTCGAACTAACGGCTGTTGGTTCGAATTAACTTTATAGTGTAGACAGACCCAGACACTACAGACATGCATACACACACTCACATATGCACCCTCGTATTCTCTCACTCAGAAACGCACCCACATTCTCACACTCAGACACACACACTCCACGGGCTGTGTAGAGGGGGCAGAAGGAGCGTGTGTCTGCTGGGGTCGGTGTGTCTGCTGCACTCACCAGTGTGAGCCGGCAAGCTGATCGTAAGGCCCATGGTCTGTGTGCTGGACGGCCCCTGTCGTGCACACGGAGTTCTTCCTGTGTCCGGCCCCGAGCGCCCCGCCCGGACCTACCTTTCCTCCCGCATGTTCCTGCCTCCCTCTCGCCTGCCCTGCACCCCCGCCTGCCTTTAGGGTTGCCAGATGTCTGATTTTGAACCAGATAGTCCAGTATTTGAGAAACTATAAATGAGAAAATAGAAATGTCCGGTATTTTCTAACTAGGATGGAATGTAGATGGTGATGGAATGTCAAGTGTGTCCGGTATTTTTGTTGAAACCATCTGGCAACCGTACCTGCCTTCCTCTGGGCAAGGGGAGATCACATCCGACCCCGCCTGGCCCCTGGTGCCAATCTGGCCGCCTTAGCACTCCACTCCGCAAAGACGCGGGCAGTGCCCTATTCACCCTCTGTCCACACCACTCCCTGCCCCCTGCATTCCTCTGCCAGGACACAGAGCTGGAACGGACAAAGCTCGCAAGGAGCTGCAGAACTTGTGCGTTCCCAGGCTCACGGGAGCAGGGCCCAGCCCCCGGCGGTGGCTGAAACTGACCGGACTTACCACACCCAAGTTACATTCGTTATACTGGGCTGGGGGGATGTTCGCATCACACCAACCGTGGGGGCTGAGCTGAGCGGGGCAGGGGATGCACTGAAGGGGATATGGGTGGGGCCTTAACTGTTGCTCACTGGTGCCTTCATCCTGCAATCAGGCCTGAGGGTCTGACACTCAGTTATGGGACCCATAGGGGTGCAACTTGGGGGGATGGGCTAACCAGGCTGGAAAAGCATAGCAGAGGCGGGATGGGGGGGAAAGTGAGGGGATGGGACTGGGAATGGAGAGGGCTGACTGGAGGGGTGGCCAGGGAGCGGAGTGGATTTTCAGGGCTGAAGAGGGGGGCACTGACAAGGAGGAAGTGTGGGGGGAGAGCTGGGCAGCACAGGAGAGGGATAGATCAGGAGTGACGGGTGCTGGATAAATAATTTCTGAGTAGGGGGTGGGCTGATGTTGGGGCTCCCTACTCCAGTTGGCAGGGGGTGCAGCTGGACTGGCTCTCCCCTACCAGCCGGGGGGCTCAGCCTCAGGCAGGCTCATCGCACAACATGCCTGGCTGCGGCTGGGGGCTGAGCCAGCGGGTTCCCAACTTGCTGCGCCAGGCTGATCCCCGGGTCCTGTCCCTGGCTGCTGCCGGTGCCCAGAACTGGACTGGCTGTGTCGGCTCCTGCGTGACCATCCCCTGCTCCTTCTCCCTCCCCCGGGACTGGACCGTCGGGGCCGTGAGCTGGACACGGGACAGGAAACAAACCGTGTATCACTCGGACGGGACTGACATCGCCCCTGCCTTTGTGGGGCGCGTCCGCTACCTGGGGGACCAGCAGGGGAGCTGCTCCCTGCGACTGACCGGGCTGCGCCCCAGCGACCAGGGCACCTACCACTTCCAGGTCCAGGCAGGGCGCCCAGGGAAGGACGACGCCTGGAGCAGTGAGCCCAGACAGCGGCTCAGTGTCTCCGGTAACCAGCTTCCGTCCAGCACCCAGAGCAGGGACCTTGGAGACCTCAGAGAGCAGAGCTTGTCCCCTCCAGTAGGGGCAGCACCGCCCCCTCACCTCACCCCCCTCCCCGCCCACACACACACACTCTCTCTCCCATTCCCTCCCTCCCTCCATCCTAGTGTTTGGAGCTGGGAGTCAGGACTCTGGGATTCTCTCCCTAGCAAAGGGACAGTGGGGGGTACTGGTTAGAACAGGGAGGGCAGTGGGGCTAGTGGTTAGAGCGGGGGGAGTGCAGGGGACTGTGGGGGGGGGGGTGGAGTG